CACCCGAAACCACCCAGATCCAGAGCAGGAACCACCACAATCGCATCCCAGAACCAGAAACAGCCGTGGGGCAATAAAACTTGACGCCACCGACAGCAGCAGCTATAGCACTTCGCCCCATGGGTCCTGCAGACGCATAAAAAAGTAAAACTTTCCTATTACTGCCACATGACCATATAGCCATATATATATATGGCATATACAAAACAGTCCCCCCCCCCATACGCACTTACATTTCAAACCCATAAAGTGCCATGTAAAATCCCAGAAACTTTCATTTGCAATTTGCTTAAAGTTTATGCAATAGATGCGTCACAATAAAAAGTTCACCAAGGTGTATGGAGCATAATAAAACTGGAGTCGCAAACGAAGCAAAAAAGTCTTTTACCCACCATCGATGTTTCTGTGGAAAAACTTCAATAAATATAATATTTGAAAACAAAAAGTTCCTTGAGTTATGTAGCATACCATTTCCAAAGAAACACATAATAATGTCTGGTGAAGGTGAGACTTTTTGTAGCACATTGACGATTATGGGTAAAAGTATTCTTTTCCTAGAAAAAATAATTTAAAGTATTTTACAGGTATAAATGGTTATTGAATTGTAAATAGCCTTTTTCGATTCCGATTTTAAAGCGGATTTCAACCCATAACAAAAAAACGCTTTCAGCTTATTCAACTGTAGAAAGCTTTATGATGTATATACCATAAAAAATGCCAGCTTCCAATCAATTTCAAAGTCATTTGTTACAAATTTTAAGTGCAGGCCCAGTGTTAATCAAAATTAAGTCCCATAAAAAGAACAACGACAAAAAACTTCTTATCGTCGCCCGCCATGTACACAGTTAAAAACCGGAAGTGCCTTCGCTGGGGAAAGTTGCGAAGAAGGCAGAATAATGCTGGGTGGTAAGTCAGCAATGAGCAAGAAGGTAATGTGGGTTCATATTTCAACGTCACAACGGCATCGTCATCATTTTTCTGCGGCCAACGCAACGGCGATGACATCAACAGTTCTGCATAAATTTGCACCCGATAAAAATTTCAAATGTTTTCATCAAATCATTTTCGGTGAGCAGTAGAAGAAATCCCCCCCTAACATTTTTTTTGGGAGGGGTGAGATGATATGGGGCCTGGGATTCTGGGATCTGGGGTCTAGTCGTCATCCATCATTAATGGAGCGCACGGGGGCTGAAGGAGTTGAAGGAACTACTGTGGAAAATGTGGGGCCTGGAGAATTCGGGGGGTTTATTTGGGGTCTGGAAACGGTGTCTCGGGCTGAGAAACGTTGACGATGACATTACTTTTTAATGACTTTGACTTTCTGCAGCAATTGGTGTGCGTCTGGCACTCTGAATACTGGAAAACCCGTACTCGCACCGCTTTTGTTTCGTTTTATGAGCCTCATTGAAGACTGGGCGTTCGCTCGGATTTTATACTTTGCTTTTTATTTTTATTGGTCCGCTTTAAATTTTGCTCCTCCTTTGTTGTGCTCTGATTTCCTTCTTTCTTTGCCGCAAACATGTATTTCGTGAGTTATACCAAGAGAAATGGGGAATACTTAAGACCATTTTTGTATAATAAGACCAATTTTAAAATTACCAGTTATAAAATACAACAATTTTTACTTAAGTAGACCATCAAAAAATACTGGGTAGCCTTTGAAGATTTAAATTTTTTAAAAACCAGGTTCTATAAAAAACGTTTGAATAAAATCCAACATTTTTGGATATATTTTCCAAACAAAAAAAATATTAAGAGGAAATTTTATGGGAAGAATTTTATGAATCACATGGGGAATTCACAATTGAATACCTTTTTAATCCGCCACACTTTCTGCAGCACCTATTTTTTGCCAACATTTTCATTTAAAATTTTTCACAAAAGATATATTTCACAAATGAAACTTTTTATCAAACACTTAAAACCAAAATGAAAATGGGTATTTCGTGGCCAAGGCTTTCCATTGCAATTAAAGTGTATTGCGAAGCGCTTAAAAATGTCGGCCCATTTTTTTTTGTTGTAAGTTTTTGTTCATATCACACCATGCCACGCCTCCATTGTCCGTGGCACGCCCACTTTCAGCCCAAAAGACAGAGGCTTTTTTGAGTCGCAGCCAGAAACCGCCGACGGCTGACGGCTGCCAATATTCATATAATATTTTCACTGTGAAATATTTTCTGCTCATAAAAGAAAATTGACTGCGAAAATTGTTTTTACCGAGGCGGCTGCAGCTCAACTACCTCTTTCCACTTTCAGTTTTCCAAGCTTCAGTTTTGCGGGTGTACATAGTACGTATATATGTGTATATGCTTTGTTTTCCTTTTTTTGCGTGTGCATTTTTACTTTTTTATGCGTTATTTTGCATGCATCAGCGCGTTATTAAATTCCGCGCCCCACAAGCAGCCAAGGAGCATCCGGGGATCCTTCGTCCTCCCACTGGCGTCTCATTTAACCGCCAGCTCCTTGCCATAAAAGCCACAAAAAATAACACAAGAAAGATATACTACCCTCCTCAACCATCAAATTCGGCACATTGTTCCGCCTTGAATACGCAATTGCTCTGTTTGCTCGCTCGTATAAATTCGCAGCACTTCGCGGATTTTTGCATCCGCATCCGGAATGCAAGACACGCACTTTCTCCAGTGCACGATTATGAACTTCGATACTTGTCACCTGATACTGGGAGCACACATCCCAAGATGGCTTATACGGATTCCTAGTGACTAATCCCCAATGAGAAAGGCTTACAGGAGATGCCTTCATTAAAGCGAAATCCTTAAGATTTCCAAAAGTTCATACCGGGTTACCTATAAAATACTTTATAAAAACTTTATTATTAACTCAATTTTTGGGGAATTTTTGCAAAGTCCGTGAATTTTTTTTTGTAAAAATCTCAGTGAATTTGTTTATTTTCCTTTGCAAACCACCGTAAAATATGATCTGCTTTTTATGCTCTAGCGAATATATCCCTTAAAATGATTTTTAAAAGAAAAACCTCTCCATAAAGGTTCCCTTTTACACCATTTTATTTCCAATCAGTTTTTATAAAATATCAATATCCGTAAATCATGGTTAAACATGATCTGTATTCATGTCCAACACTTTCTGGCTTGTAAATGGAAAAACATTTTCTCTGTCGCTTTTTTATTGCAAAAGTTTTTCAACTATTGTCGGTAATATCTTGTTACGTTTTTATAATTTAGCTAAAAAAAAATATTGAAACAAAAGTGCATTGATTGAGTGAAAACATTAAACAGAATGGATATTTTAGCCTTTTTGCAGACTTCTTTTCCACAATGTTTTATTTTTGTAAGCAGAAGCTTAACATTTTGTTGACCGTTAATTCAAAGAGGTATGTTAACGTTTGGTAACATTAGCATGTCCTTCTGACTACAGTGGAATGTTAGCAACCACTCCGGGCACTGTTAACCGTTAGCACAGTTTTCCCCATGTCCTTGTGTTTGCAGACTGTTAATGATGGGGTTGCTCTATGTTGTTTACAGGCCTTTGTACAGCTGTTAATAGGGCTGTACAAAATGGGGCGGAAAATCCTTACTGATTTAAATTTACACGAAATCTAGAAATATAAATAAATACATTACAATAGTTATATTGCAAATATTGATCACTCCAAATCATAGTTATAATATATTTTTAAGATCTTTATCTAATTCCAGAATGTGGTAAAAATAAATCTATAAGCTAAGTAAATACGAATTCGTTTCAAAGCAAACCTTCACTAAACTTACATTCTCAAGTCAAATCCATCAGCTTGTTACAATTTAATTGCATTCAATTTCCATTCAAACCGAAATCAGGTGATGGATGCTCACCTTTAAACCTCCTCGGCAAATTTGCAATAAATACCTGTTTCAGTGTACCTCGATAAACACATGCAATGCAATTCATCATTCAGCCAAACACACACGGGGATGATCTGGTGGGGGTACGAGGCGTTTTCCGGGGGGGTTTTACAGGGCGGCGGCGGCGGTGAGATGGGATATTGGAATCTTTTGAAAGGACGAGGCCGCCGCCAAAACGTCCCATTAACAGGAGCTCAATGCACAAAAAGTCAGATCCTATGGCTGATGGCTGGAGCCAAAAAGCGAATGTCAACACTATCAATCATCGCTTTGACAGTTTGAGTGCTTGTTTTAGTATTTGTGCTTTTGATTATGTGACTCACACACTTGCAAAGCCAACACACACACACACACACACACACATGCCGGCGCATCAATTGATACACTTACAACAAATTGTTTGTAGTGGAACACGTGGGCGTGGCCCTGCGGACAGGATTGGATCGGATCGGTCGGGGAATATGGGATATATGTATATGGTAGCATAGGTGGGTCGGGGGCAGGACCACTTGATTGATGGAGCCACCGACCTAAGCCATTTTAAATGAACAAATTGAATGTGCGGAAGCACACATGCACAGTCACAGCAGAGGTCCTTGGAATAGGAAATGCTGTTTAATTCAATTAAAAAGTCTGCTCTTTCTAATAAAACACAGAGAGAATTCTGACATTCTTAACTGAGCTAAAAAAGGTTCTTTAAAATTGAACCAAATTTCTGAAGATGAAAATGATTTCACTGTTCTTGAATCAAGGTGAACTGGCGGTACTTACATTCTATATCTCAACAACTAAACTATTAGTTCAGTCAGTAGTGTATACTTATTAGAAAGTTGTTATATAAACTCAAATTTACATTTCTCTTCTCACCATTTTGTTCTTATATTGAGAACATTGATACCAAAATATACTTACACGGTTTTTAAGAACGAATGTTCTCTATTTAAGAACATTGTACTTGAATATTTCTCTCTGTAAAGGTGTGCATAAGTATGTCGTGGAATATGTTCACCATAATCCCATTATTCAAATATATTGTGGTATACTTTTGTTCACCTTTTTAGGTAATTTAAAAACATTAGTATTTCTTTTAGTAATTTATTTTCATATTGGTTACAATGCTATCACTTTACCCCCCATTGTTAGTTTGTGTCTGCGGTTGCCTGCTGGTGATTATAGTAATTTAATTTCTTCGAACAACAAAACAAATTTGCAACAAAAAATCCGTAGGTAATGAAATCCAAAAACGGAATAAAACAGAACGGGGAATCCCCCGGGTCAACGGGCGCTGAATGGATTGGGTCGAGCCCGGAACATGGTTAGTTGGCGTTGCTTTTGGTAAGCTTCTCGTTCCGCCCGTTGGCGCTGCTCCTCCATTTCCCGACGCTTCGACTCCTGCGCCTTGGTATTCTGCACATTGAAGAGGCGACGCTGCTGGACACGCGACTCGGCGGACAGGTTGAAGGGTTCGACTTTCACTTTCACCTGCGAAACTCCGGAAGGACGATTTGAGGGCTTCAAGGGCTGTCGGCTGCTCTGAGGAATGGGTTTGGCCCTTAGGAACTGCTTTCTGTAGAGTTTCGACTCCTCTTCCCGCTCCTTTTGCAGCTGTTTCACCTTTAAACGACGCTTTTCCTCCATTTCGCGCGAATTCTTTAGCACATTGGGCGTCAAGGGACAGGTGATACGATGCACTACGACCTTGCTGGCCTGCCGTTCGTGAGCATGACGAAAATCTGGCATAGGTCGACTGTGGAACTCACGCAGCTTGCGCTCCTGCTCCTGGCACTCGCGGATAAGCCGATCCTTGCGACTGGAGTAGATGTCCTTGAAGCAGTAGGCCTAAGGGTTAAGGAAAACCATCAAGCTAGTTCTGATCCTTTTTAATAATCATTAAATTAACTTTTAGAATACTCTATTGTATTCTACCATTCGAAGTGCCACAAAATCACACTTTATATATGTACCTAAAAGTATGCAACAATATATGTTATGATATGAAAGACGACTGTCCATTATTCATTGTGTACTTTTAGACACCTTAAATGACTATGCATAAATAGTTTTTGACCTCCTAAATTTACCAAATTACGTTTTTTATACCTGTTTCGAAATTAAATTCTAATTAGTAACATTATGTTTTAAAACTGTAAACTGAATATGATTGATCTACTGATTATCATAGTAGTAATATCTTAAGCCCTACCTTGGGAGCCGTAATTTGCGGAGGAAACATGGGCTTCTCACATCCTATTTTGAGGTTCTTGAACATATTCTCCACCAAAACCTTCGAGTTCTTTTGGGCCTGGCTCAGAATCTGGCTGCCACGTCGTTGGATCTGCTCTACCTTCTCCCGATGCTGTTGGAGACCTGGGAATTCCTCGCTGGCGGTATGGAAGATGTCCCCCTTGCTCGACATCTCGGATATTTCGGATGCAAAGCCGTCCAGCTGCTGCACACCCAAATCGCCCCAGTAGTACTCCACTTTCGAATCCGACATTGTTATTATGTAGATACTAACTAATTCCGGGATGTGCTTAGTGCTCACGTTGATGGCAGTTAATGTGGAATGGCTGGAATTTCAGTTACATTCAATTATCAGCCTACTCTGAGCCGGGGTTTCGGGTGGAAAATGTTTTGGACATTAGTGTAGATTTCATGTGAATAATGTAGAGTATTCCGACTGACACTTGGTATGAATGTGGGGGGCTGTCTGCAGCTTCCGCTGCCCAACTGGGATGCACTTTCGAATGGAGGAGGTGGCACCCCAACTCTCCGTCGATCCTGTCACTTTCCTGTCCAACTGTCTGTCCCCGTCTGTCCAGGACGTCTATGTGGTGTCAATTTGATTGCAAAGGTAATTCAAATAATCTCATCATACACAATCTAGCTGTGTATCCTGCCCGGCTCCTCAACACCCCATCTGAATCACAGTCGTCCTCCCTTCGCTTCACTTCAACGACAACTTCAAAGCGAGCACAGCAAATAAATCAAATTAAATTTAACTTTTTTTTTTTGGATTTTGCCTTGCTGTGTGTGGGAGAAATTTAATTTACAGCAACTGATTTCGTTGGATTTCATTAAAAAGGTTCTCTATAATTAAATTGATTAAGAGATGGAATATAAAAGTGCGAAATGTACACATATATTTTAATCCCGGCCCAGCTAATGATGGCGAAATACCAGCTTTTCTCATTCGACCAAACAGTTTGAATAAAGTTCGTTAATTGCTTTCGTTTGATGGGTTTCGAATAGTTTTATAGTGCCAATGCAGGGTAAAATATATAATTCAATAATCCAAACTGTAGAGCAAACAAACAAATAAATAAATAAATAGAAAACGGAAAATTTATTTTGCAAATATCCTCTCATGCCATTAAAATCCCAGAGTAATTTGTGAAAAGTGTGGCATCTTATGATGCCATTAAGAGTTATTTTTCTTATTTATCAAAAGGTTTTCACACTCTCCCACAGAGGGCTGTAAAAGTTGGCTAATCTAGCACGCGTTTTGATTAACCACAACAAGTTGTCCAAAAGTTTGTGGCCAGACATGTGCCATAATCCACTCCAGTTGAGTTGGAAGCTGCCTGCAAATCACCCATCCTGATTAGAACTATGTAAATACAAGTGTTTGTAGGATCTGAGGGGGTAGTATCCACATACCCCCAGCACATACATATGCTGGTAACTTTTTAAAAGCCCCGTCAGATAGCCCCCACATTGCTTACAAAATAAAAGTTTGGCCTTATATCTCTGATAGACATTAGTAAGGCGAAAAGTTAACAAAGGGGCGAGCGAGTTAGGAGTACTGGGAAAAACTTACCGACTGATAAACGTGCCTCAAAATCAGAAATGGAGAGAGAGAGAGCAAAAGTTATACCCAAAACTTGCCGCAAAACAAAAACTCACTCTTCCTATCTCAGCGATAATTGCTCCTTTAACTAGGAAATTTTTTTTCGCCTGCCCCCATTTCAGCAAAACCCACTTCTGATTAGTTTGTAAGTATAGAGTTTTTTTGGGGGCCCTAGGTCTTTGTGTATTATCTTTCAGTTTGCAATTAGTGGCTCATTTGAAAGAGATTTGCAGCAGCGACTTTTGCTGATTGGATTGGGTCCGGTTTCGAGGCGGGTCAAAGGTCCCGAAATGATTGAAATTTGAGACGGGGGGGGTTTGGGGTGAGTTGTTTTGTGGGCCGGAACAATGCCATCCATGCGAACAGGTTCGCATCCGTGCAAAACATTAAACGCTACGACTTTTCCCGTTGCCCACATTCTTCTCGAATCATTTAACCCGAGCGCCATTTTCATAAAACGAAATTATTAAAATTGTTTATTCGGGTCTGTCGTGTGTGGCCATGTGTGTCGCATCCGAGGGGGGATGTGCACATTCCGCCGCACAAAAACATTATTATTGAGCAGTTAACTATACAGGAAAGCAAGTTTAAATTAAATGGAAGAGTGCCCCTCGAAATTGAAACAGAAATTGGTTATGCGGCTCTTAAACATTCATTTCAGTTGATAAAATCCTTTTTTCGACGAAGAAGTATGCGCAGCATGTACTTATTTATAAAAAAAATGTATAGTAAATCTAACTAAGGTTTTAAAAATATTGAATTTAATCATTTTTAGATTTAGGGTTTAATTTGTATTTTAGTGAAGTGAATACTAAAAGTTGTTCATATTTTTGTACATAATAATTTTTCAGTTAAAAATCCTTCTAACTCCCATATCTCGGCTTTATAACTCTTATGATTATTTCTCTTTTTGCATGATATTTTTTTGGGAATTTTTAATCACTGCGGTTTATGCATTTTTCACATTATTTAGGCCACAAATCTTTTTCGGGCACTTTCAAATGGCCCGTTTCCCGCCACATGCCATTTTACATGTCGGACAAAATGAATTGCGAATTTATTTATCGATATGTTTGCGCCAGGCGGCGATCCAACAAAATCAGACAAACGCAATCCAATTGCGGACTTGTAGCACTGAAATGAAATGTGTCAGGCCATCAATTAATGAATATATGCGACAGCGACCGTATTGTCAATCATAATTATTGATTGTCCATTACGAGCTTAATTTATGCACAGCAGACGGAAAGTGTTCGTGCTGAAAGGCGGTAAAGAATCGATTAAAATGTTTGTTGGCGACATCAATTCCGCCAGAAATGGAATAGAAATATTGCCATAAAGTGGCACTCCCCCGAAAAGCTGTATCGTGAGGTGTTGACATTAGAATATCCGTTTCGGATATTTATGATATTGCTCTGCCTGGATTATTTATGACGATTCATAGGTCATAGGGCGTTGGTCAGCCAAATGCAAATTTAATTTGTTAACCGTGTGTCAGTGGCGGTAGAAGAAGAAGAACTGGCCAACTTACCGGGCTCAAAGCCAAGGGCCAAACAATGCGCGCTTTCTTATCGCATGTCAGCAGCAGCGGACGGGAATCCCTTTCACAGAAGGTCCCACACATGTCCTGCCATAACACCGAACACTGAACACAGAACACATATCCCTGCCCCGAAGTCCAGCCGAAGCCAAAACTGAAAACTGAAGCCTTACTTGACGCAACAGCAGACCAATAAACAAAAGCATTAAACCCATAAAACAGGGAACATGGCACTCTCGAGAATTAACACTACATTATTCACAATGCAATTTCGAAACAAGTGAAATGGTGCAAGGAAATGGGTATTCGAATGGGAGTTACCTAGTGTTTTTCTTTGTTTTAACACTTTATGTTCCCTGTGTTGCGTAAAAGGAAGTTAACACTTATAATAAACAAAGCTTTTATAGTGATAGCTATAAAAATATTTAGTTTATACCATCCCATATACCATCCATTTTGATGTGAATAAATGTAAGTGTATAACATAAATTGTAGTAGATTGTGGAAAAAGAAGAAATATCTTAGGGTACTTACTTAAAAAATAGAACTAGTAAAAAAAAAAACAATTAGCACTTATAATGCAATAAGAATTACTTAAACATATGATTTAGCTTAGGAACTAGAAGTAAAATGTCGTTTAGAAATATGGTATTCTGTTAACAATGCAGACAATAATTTTTGTGTATTATTATTCTTGATAAGAAGGGTAATCATTAATCTTTAATATGAAGAACTTAAGAAATGAAAAATGTTGATCACTGTTAATAGGAGGCATATGTCGCTTGAAAGCTTAAAATGCCTTCATCTTTAAAGCTTATTTATTTTTAGATATATCACTCGTTTAGTAATTGCGCGACATAGCTTTATAAAAATATAAATATCATACAATCTATTTCCAATGTTTATTCTTTTTTTTCTAGCTCTTAGGATATTTTTTAGTCATCCCCGAATCCGGCATACCCCTTCAAAGTTCGAACCCCTGGGTGAATTTTATAAAAAATGTTTCAACTCGAAACGGCAACGAATGCGAATGCATATGGATGTGCTGGGATCGGGATGAGTGGAGATATGGAGTGGGTTTAATGGGGGCATGTCTGTCTGAGGGGAGGTATACAAGGAGGGGCTGGTGACCCACATGGATGCCATTGTGGCCGCGCCACTTGCCTCCGGGCGGTCTTCGCGCTCCGTAGGTGTCTCTCTGTGGGCCACGTGGGTCGGAACTGGGATTGGTCTGCACCTTTAGCGTTCGTTGCTTTTTTTCATTTGTTAAAAAATGTGAAAAATTAAAAATATTGTACGCGTGCACACACAACGATGTGTGAGCGGGTCTATATGTATATTTGCCGGTTCTGCTCTGTGTTTTCCCGTGATACTCTGCCGTGTTCCCTTTTTATGCATATTTCCCACAACACATTTTGGAGCCGAGGCATTCGCTTTTAAATCATCCAAAAGGGGGGCCATGGGGGTATAATATATATATAGTTAGTTCGCGGCTGAAGTCGGGCTTATCCCATCAGCAGCATCAGAGGTGCCCCCCCTTTCCACCCTTGATTTATGTTCGGAGTTTGCGTTCATTTATCATTACAGTTGAAAGCATTGCCGCTTTGTTCCTGTTCTGTTTCTTCCTGTTTTTATTTTTTATTTTTCATTTTTTTATTAATGCACAATATGCACAGCAGCCGTGAAAGAATAATACTTTTAATATGAGTTATTTTTTGTGTGTTTTGCAGGTGCCAAATGTGGTGCTTATCACAGCAATGCTTTTACCATTTACATTTTAAATAACACCAATCGATGGCTTGCCAGGGGAATAAAACAATTGTTTGACTGTGCAATCCACTCATGCCAAAATATAAAAAATAACTATTAAAAATAAAGAGCTTCTCCCCATACAGGACTCAATTTAAGCTCTTCAAATATAGTAATCTGCAGACAACTAAATTTAAGCGACTTAAATGTACTTGCTTTGTGGCAAAATCAAGCAAAATGAAGTTGCTATTCGGATATTGCCATAAATAAAATATTTATCCTTTTTTAAATGCATTAAACTACAATCCAAGTTGAGTAATAAGTTAAAAACTAATAGTAGTCATGACAAAATCCGAATTCATTTTGCTTGACTTTGTCATGACTATCCTTACTCTAATAAATAAAAATGTTAACCATTTTTAAATGCATTTAAATTAAATCCAA